TGGGGTCCACAATTGAAATATTTCAAGGGCTACCCCCCCAGAAAATAAATAAATTGCATTTTTTGAGGTCCCCCACTCCCCCCCCCCCTTAGGGACGGGGATTGACCTAAGATAATACACAATTCCAGTCGCTTGCGCAAGCAACTGCAGACCAAACGTCGCGTAAGCTCACTGCATGCCAGTTGGAAGTAGACAGAGCCACTGATTTGTTACGTGTGGCCGGAAAGAGCCGAGTGCATTGTTGCACCAGTCAGAGCGAGCTCACCTGGGAGGAAACAGAGCTCACCCACGATCAAGTCAAGGTCTACTTTGTGATTCCGTATTCCTAATATGAATTATTATTTACAATTCAGCAAATTTCTACCCACCACAGCAATCCAAGGCAATTCCAATTGTTTGGCTAGGGTATCCCTTAAGTTTGTTGTAGTCTTGATTCGGCATTGCATTGTGCTAGCTCGATGCTGCTTTGAAATGGCTAGACGTTGGTTTGGTAGATAATTTAGTACTGCTACAGTTTGGCTGCGTGCGGCTGATTTCTTATCTTTCGTTTGATTCCGTTTTTGCCCCCAAGCCCTTTGGCGTCTCGGAAGTTCCCGCAGGCTGGCCTAAAGGCTTTCCTTGCGGTTACACCTGCCTCCGTTTTGAACTGGTTTTTCCACCTGCCACCATGCATTGCCTGGATGGTGACTTTGCTGCCTGTTGAGACTTGCCATTTTGACATGTCTTGTTTGCAAGCTTCAGGGGCCACGGACGACACCCACGAAGAGGACTTGTCTAAAGCAGGCCAGTGAGAAAGGCAGCATTGTCTCTTCTGGCAAGTTGTGCCAGCCTTCGGTCCACCCTTTCTCAAGCAAGTTGTCTGTTTGATACGTGCCATTTGCCAATCACACTCTGACACAACCCACCAGAAACCAGGCTTGCTGAGATCGCTTTATATTTGCAAGGCTGCACGCAGTTTTGAAAAATAAATCAGCACGCCAATGGTCAAAGCGTTTTGCAAAGCACCTACCACTGAACAAGCTGGCAGGCATTTGCTTCCACCCAACGTGTGAAAACATGACGGTGCTCATTGCCGTTGGCTGCTTGGGTGTCAACTCCAACTGGTCCAGCTCACCTAACTGTTTTGCGCTGAGGTCTTGCCACCGTTGAACCTTTGACCGAGGCCGGTGTTTTGATGTGCTGTCCGCTTGCGGTTTGGTGCACTTGTTTAATGTTGGGTGTGTGCAGGTTCGTGGGCAAGTGGTGGATTTTCTTTTGGTCCAACACTCCAGTAAGTGAGCAGAGTTTTTTGTTGTTGCGGATGTGCTGCTTGTGAAGGGGCGTGCAGTTGGCAGGCATGCTTGCAGTTTGCTAGGCAGAGTGTGAATGCAATAATTTTAGCAGTTGGCAAGTTTGTGTTTGCGTGATTTCATGTCTGTCTGTGTGGGGGGTCTTGTGTGTTCGACGGCAACTGCACGAACTGCACAGTGCATGCGTTCATCTTGCCAAGCAACAGTTCCAGCCGTTGGTTTTGGCAGAGTGTGTATTGCACCTAAGATACATCAAACGATGATGCGGCCTTACTTTGCCTGGGCCCTTTACCATTCAAATGTCTATGGAGGGGGGTGGTAGGGTCCTTTAGATTTGCCAGCGTGGTGTTTGTCCTGGTTCGTCACTTTGACGATCTTTGCAGATGCAATTGACAACCGACATTCTCATCAGTGACCAGTGGCAGTTATCCAATGTTTTGGCATGTTTTGGCTAAAGCACTTGACGTTTGCAGACGTCAAGAAGAGGCAGTTTCCTGTTCATGCTCAGGTGGGCTCTCCCGTGGTGACGCCATGCTTTCAAAGTCCCAAGAGCAAGCGCCGACCACAATTGCAGCTTAGCCTGCAGATATAGCGCAGCTGTGGTGTGCCTGTTAGCTGAGAGTCTTTACGTGTGTTTGCGTGTGTGATGGCGTTGTTCCAAGATTTGCTGCAGTCTTCAATCTCGACGTGTTATTGAGCCGTTGTGAAGAGCAACTGGGATGGCCCAAGCCATTGCAGTCACTGCCCGTCATGGTATGCCACTTTCCATTGATTCAGTTGTGTTTTACATGTTCTCACAGATTTGATCAGCAGCTCTTGCTTGAACAGTTATCTTGATACATCTTGATACTATGTCTCATGCGTAGCATGTGGTGGCGCTATTTTTTTTGGCAACAATGTGGATGTCATTTGTTGAGGCTCACTTGAAACACATGCGCAGCACCTGAGAAACACTGGGCACTACAACGCCTTTGGTTCATTTTGCCTGGATGTTAGGACTTTAACTTTTTGCCAGCTAATGGGTTTTCCATTAAACCACTAAAAGTTAAACTTTTAGCAGGGGAGCAGAAAGCAACCGAGACGCGTATTGTTTTGGGAAGCACTTGCATGGCATGCTTGTGCTGAATTGTCGTGCCAAAATACATTGATTGGACAAAACCCGGGCCATATTCCAGTTACCTTTTGCTAGTATGGCACTCCCATGGGTCAGGGTTTGTGCCCTGGTTTTTTAGGGATTTCAAAGGCTGACAAACAGCACACCGACATGCAGCTTGCCCCAACACGTCCGCCCGATGTTTTGTGCAAGGACGCCCACGCCCACGCGAGAGAAGCCCAAAGAAGAGGTTCTTTCGCCCAAGAAGGCGCAGAAGGGCCTTGGCTATAGTGGGCTTATTACCCATATCGCAGGTGTGTCAACTCAGCAAGGCACTTGTGGAGTACCCTTCCCAGATTAACATGGAAGCTCCCAGGACCCCTTTGGAAGACTTGGTTCCATTTACAGAGGCCAATTGGGGGAGCTTCCATGTTAGTCGGAGGGAGTGTATGGTGTGGTTGCTGGGTTCCCCCTCCCTCCAGTTGCCATTGTGACAAGAATCAAGGATTTGGGCGACCCCAATGCTCATTGTTGTCGCCTATTCCCAAGGGTTCTCAAAATCACTTTTGAGGTGTCGAGCAACAAGCGGACCGACTACTGCAAAGGAATTTCATTCCTTGTGGTTTTCGATTAATCCGACTAGTTCATTGTTGATTTCCCCTGCAAGTGAGATGGGCCATTTGCCAACTTTTTGTAGACCCCAATTCACCACGGACGGCCACAACTCCTGCCTGCCTTGGGTACACACGTGCGGTCACATCTTCATGGCGGGCGTATCATGTGACACACCAACCTTGTTTGACCGCTTGGCCCATTAGTGAGCCAGCACCCTTGCCAGCACTTTTTGTGCCTTTCCAGCCTTCTGGTGCTTGTCCTGCACGTTGCCTTGAAGTTGGTGGTTTCAGAAATGATGGATCAAGGCATGGTCGTATTTGGCGCTGACAAGGCAAGCCCACTCCCCTAACCGGGCTGAAGGCTTATCCAAGCAGTGGGATTCCAGGGTTTTTGGGGTAGGGGGTTCTACCTGGCAGCTGGATACGCCGACAGGGCCAGGCCCCGCCATTGTTGGCGGACTTCCGGGAAGTGGCGATCCTTGCCAAGCGCCTCGGCGATTTCCTCATCCCTTGAGGCCCACCAACAATGGCCACCTTGTCGTTTAGCAAAGTGGCCGAGTATCGAAAGCTTCAGGTGAATCATGATCCCATGTTGTGGAAAGTCGACATGGTTGTTTGAGATGCTTAGGCCAGTTGTCTATGGTACCAAGGGACGCATTTTTGAGGCAACAAAGTGGTCATGGGGGTTTGACATGCACAGCCTCTATGCGAACACACGCCTAACGCAAGATCATGTCAACTCAGAATCTAGGCTCAGGGCCAGAATAACTGGGGTTGCCGGGAACGTAGACAGCTGCATTTCGCTCGCCAACACAAGGCTAGGGCCAGAAAAGGACTACCAGGACCAACCTGTCAATGCAAGGATGCAAAAGCAAGCAAAACTTGCCCTGACGAGGCCCTGTTCTCAAGGGCGGAAACAACCAGGTGGTAGCCATCCAGCACACAAATCTGTCCAGGTTCTTCCTCAGCTTTGGAAGAATACATGTGTCAAACTCATCTTACCGTCAACGCGCTCGACTAGCATCAAAGGATTCGCTAATTGACTGTGAGAGTCCAGCCGAGCTGCGACTCAGGGTTCCGGAGCGCTCGGTGCTGTTGGCGCGGGACGCCGCAGATCAGATGGTGGCTCTCAAGGCGCAATGAATGGTCGATGACATCACCCAAACTATCCTTCGGACTGAGGATTTCTGTGCGATGGCAAGGGCCCCCCCTGCTCAGATTGCGTACAACCAAGCAAAGAGTTCCTTTTGAGGAAAATGGTCGTGGAGGCCATCACAGTCGAATTCGACTTTATTGGTTGCCTTGTTTGCTTTGGAGCCAACTTGTCACTGGCATAAACGGTGAGATTCGGCAGCTTGGAAGGCTGCTGGTGGCATCCCAAGTCTCGTCCAAGGCCGACCCTGTGACCTTCTTGACTTTTCCCTTGTTGGTCCATGTCTGGTTCAACTCTGTCAAGGCCCCCCCCCAAAAGAAAAATTAACCTTTGATCTTGTTGTGCAGCTGATGCGCTTGTCTTTTCCTGACCGTGCATCCATGGAAACACTGTGTTCATAGACATTAGAAAGATTGGAATCATGAGCTGGAGCACGTATGGTGCATTCGCCGATAGCTGTCCGGCTCCATGCGAGGTGTGGCAGGCTTAAATGCATTCTTGTCAGAACACCGCTGATCTTGGTGGATCCTTAGCTCCTTTGTTTTGGAAGCCATTGAATTGGGCATTTCCAATCACCGAATTGTCGAGAGACCCACCCAGAAACAGAGAGACCCTAACTCAAGTGCAGCGGGGCCCTGCGGTAGGTGTAGGTGAGACAGCCTCCTTCGCCTTGAGATCCAAAACGTCAGGCCGTTTTCTACTCCAGGCAATCCTACTCATGTATTTGATTGAATGCGTTTGCGATTGTTTAGCAGCATGACAGAGTCACAATGCGTGGAGGAGGTCGGTTTTTAACCCCTGGCATCTCGGGTATCAGCCCCGAAACCCCAAAGAATGCACGGCACATTGCCATGGCTGAAGTAGATGCGCTGATCATCGGCGCGGGGCTCGTGGCTTGGCCAGACTTCGACCTAGCTGGGGCTGTTGCGTGCTTTGTTTGTCATTGACATTGACCCAACATCCTGATGAACATACCTTTTGGTTCCGGCCCTTTGCTCGGGCTTGACAGTAAAGGGTGAATGTGATGGATTTGCTAGAGCTCACTTGGACACTTGATGTCTGGGTGTTTCATCCATGCCTTCGAAGTGGTGGATTCTGGTCATGTGAGCTTGCGCTGCATTTTCACTGTACTCAAAGCAACTACTGGAACTGGTTAAGGCTGGCCTCACTGCAGCGCGAGTGCTGAACGCTTTCGGTGCGAGTACCCTGATCCTGGAGGCTGGAAGGTGAAGACAGCGACATTCTTTGTACGTGTACGATGTTGCTTAGGCTTAGGCGTCGGGACGGCGTAGCAGACAACCGCCAGATAACACAGAAAACGGCACAGCAAAGAATCTACCCTGCTTCCTCCTCCCAACGCATGACATACACACAAAATCAAGTTCATGCAGAGCCATTTATACATTCATGTGCCAGCTGCTATCAACATGATTCATGAGTGGCTTCCCAAAGGGCTTCTCACCTTCCGGGAAGCACGTTGGTAACAAGACCTTGCTTTTTACAAAGTCAAGCCCGGCCAGTCATATCGACGCATGCGCACACCCCGGCACTCACAGACACAGACGCAGACACACAGACACCTCACCAACACACACACACACATACACTCATATACCCACACACCCACATACCTAAGCTGCACAACACCGAGCAAAACTGATCAAATTCCGCTTCAGCAACAACTCGGCTCGCAAATTGCGGCTCGGAGCCAAACAGCAGGTGCTTCAGAAGCTGGTCCGCTTCAGAAACTACGTCTCACAAATTGCGCATCAGCCACTGCGCTTCAACAACCAGCATTTCCCGCTTCAGCAACTTCGGCTCAAAAACTAAACTGCAAAGCGCGCTTCAGCAACTACAGAGTTTCGCTAGGCGCGGAGGCCAAAACTGTCTACGACGCATGGGGCGGGGTGGAAGAGTTGAACATGAAGTGATGTGCCTGGACAGGACTGTTTCGACGCACAGGGTGTTCTTGAGCACTTGTGCACGCTTTTGTGCAAATCTGCACAAGTTCAGGTGCATTGCGCTGCAAACAACTGCACAAGCAGGCAAATAAGAAGTTGGGTGCCTCCAATTCTTGCTCCCTCGCTTTGTATGTATCCGGAAGGCACGAGCACGGCCCGGGGGCCGCGCCAGCACGGTGCAGCTGGGCTCGGCTGAGCTGGAGCCGCAGCCGGTGGAAGAGGGCTGCTGCTGGGCAGCGCTAAGGGGGGGGGCCCACACTGAGTTGAATCCAGCCTGCCACTTCACGTAGCTCAGATTTCAAAGTTGTCCTTTCTGGTTTCAGTTTGACCACGCCATGATTTCCACACTTTCAGGTTGGCTTTAATGCATTACCACATCAGGAAATTTGGCTGACTTTGATTGCTAAATCAAACCCTTTTTGGGAACCTTTCTTTGGATTTGGTTCCATCCCTTGGAGATTTGAACGGGCAACCACAATCAGGGGGCCCAAGGACAACACTGATACGTCTAGCATACCAGGAACCAATTTTTGTTGGAACCCATTTGGTGTCGCCGAAGAGATGGGTGGTCTCAAAATTACGAAGCAACCTGACTTGGGAGCTTCCCACTCACTGCTCGTGTTTCTAAAGGGGGCATTTGTCTCACAGTGGCAGGCCCACAAAAAAGAGGTTTTCTCCAGGTTTCTCTTTCAAGTACCCTTCGCCTCAAGGACCACCCCCACAAAGCAAACATCGTTGAGGCTCTTTTTTGGCCTCATCTCTGATCTGGCTTTAGTTTCATTTTTGTGTTGACGCCTCTAAGCTCCCAGGTACAGTGTTGTTAGGCAAGGGTCTACCCTGGTTCTTCCATCCGTCGGACGTGGTGTAGTTTCAGTTTGCCTGGATGGTTTTCCGGAAAGCTGGCCTGGACGAGGCTTTTGCTTGAGGCTTGGCATTTGGGGTGGCTGGTAAAAAGGTGGGCCTCTCTTAATCCCAGGAGAGTAGTGGATGGTGGGCAAGCCAATTGACGAAAGGAAGGAGTTGGCTCGCGTCTTGTGACAATGCACTATCATTCTACCTCAATTCACAAGCTAACAGCTGAGGATTGGAATGAAGGTTTTGCCACTAGCTGCTGATACACATTGCCCGGACGCCTTGCCATTTCAACGTTCCTGGTTTAGCTGGGCTGGAACGGTTTCCCACATGCTGGTTTTTTTCATGTTGCGCAAACATTTTCCATTTGCCTAGGTTGCAATGTCGACTTCCTGTCTCACGATTGGGCAGGGCTCAGTGGGGACAGATGCTTACAGTGCTTCTTTTGCTGCTCAGGCAACTACTTGCACGGCTGCAGCGAAGAGCATCCGCTTTTTCTCCTGGCTGCCCGCCTGGGCGTGCCGTCAGCCACTGCGGCGGGCGACCTGGGATGCTGCTAATCTAAATGATGTATCAGGTGTTCCTTTTGGCTTCCTTTCAAACCAACCTCAAAAGGCTACCCTCAAACAAATACACAAATCTATGCTTTAATAAAGATTTAAAATGAATGCTATGTGGATGTGTCTCAAAGTGCGGATGCGGGTCCTCTTGGAAAGATGCATGCAGGGGTTGGGAAGAAACTTGCTGTAGATCATGTCGATGTGGTTTCGTGGCTCGCGCGCGCGTGAGTGTATTTGGGAGCAGCACTGACATGCAGCCTCTTTTGGCGGACATTGATGAGCCCCGGTGTGGATATGGCGGATATGGGTAGTGAATTTGGGTGTTGTGTATTGAACATTCATTGTGTCATACTGCCAAGGTGTTGCAAGCATTGTTAGCCAACTCCCGGCTGCTTGAGGTCAGTACAGTGGCTGGGAGTCTGCAGAAGTGGCAGAGACCTGGATGTAATAATTTATGCCATTGTGCACTGTGCGTGCTTTCAAGACCAGCTGAACCCATGACTTCCTTCTTCATCGCAATGGCAGAGGACAAAGGATGCCAAAAGGTTTGAAGGCTTTAAACATGGGCGCGCGAGGGGTTTGGCACTGCACCGATTCTGATGCTTCAGGGCAATTCAATAATTCTCACCGGAAGTTCATTTCACATTTAATTTAGCTGATGGTTTCCCCTCCAAGCGGCATTGAATATTCCTGGTTGGTGTTAAAGCCAAATGGTCAGGGAGGCAGGCGTACGTTGTTCGCGGCACACGCGTGAAGCTTTCTGAGGAGTGGCGCGATCCAGACCGAGGCTCGCCGGACAACCAGTTGCAGCTTACGTAGGTTTTGCAACATGGGCCCAGTAGTTGACTGGGCCTTTTTTTCTTGCTTGTTTTACAAGCGGGCCCAGTCTATGCATGAGTATTCCGCTGAGAGGTGGGGCAAATGATGGATGCATTGCAGGGCCAGACGCAGAGGTGAAAATGGAAAGTTTATAGGCTCATTGCTGTTGCTATTCAACATGACAACGTCCAACGGTTTTTGATTGTAATACAACATGTGCAACAACAAACGTTTTCCCCAAGAAAACGTGGGTACCAGGGCAGGGTGGATTCCGTAAAAAATTGAGTGGGGCAATGCAAGGAGACCGCATTGCACTTGCGAAGCGGGTCGCCAATACGTCGCCAAACCCTTAATTAAGTGTTCTTCTTTCATTGCAAGGAGAGTCTGTTCTTCCTCTTGTCATCGATGCATCTAGTGACTGACTTTGAACTGCACTGAACTAATATTCTGGGTAAATGAGTGAACAGAGATCCTGTTGCGTCATGCCCGCCACCCACACCTGGACCCCCCTCCCCCTCCACGTTTGCTCCGTGGAGCCGCGTTTTGGCATGCAAATTGAGCTGTTGTCCGTCGTGACACCCAGAATTCCATTTTGGGGGGATCCAACCTCTTAAGCACGGGGTATTTAAGGAGTTGCCTCCTGGAGCCCTTTGATGGGGGTGCACAGCAGTGCCACGACTTAAGTTAATTCAGATCGACCTTTGAAATATCAATTTCGACCTAACGACCTAGGACATATAGTAATTCACCCAGAATCTTGCCCGTGAGCTGGCACTCTGGACAAATGCCGAGAAGCTGCTCAAGGTGTCTCAGAAAGCATTTCGTGTCCCTTGATTGGTCCCTTGATTATGTGAGAAAAAACTCTTTCAGAAAAAACAACACACATATGGATATATTTGAGTGTACGTACATGCATCTATGATATACCATGTACGTATATGTGTGCGTGGATCCCATTAAACGATTAATCAGAGAGGGCAGGTCCTTCTGCTTTTCGTGGCAACCATGAAGCCACAAAGCCACTCGGCAACTTAGAGTGAGCTTGCTTAGGCTGACTACATGGGAAAACCCACTGCGCAAATCAGGCTGGTGCCCTGTCGCTAGCTGAGCGCAAGCCCCTTTTGGGGGTAAGAGTTTGGGGCTTGGTAAGCCTCTTACTGGGGGCTCTTGATGGCTTGGTATTTTCGGGGCTGCAGGGTGATTAGGTTTGAGACCGTGCCAGGGGGCGAGGAGATCCCTGTGGAAGAAGTGCTGGACGCTGCCCTGCTCCTGCAGCAGGTCACTTATGGCGTGGCCTTCCTGGCCCAAGGCGCCGTCCTTGTCAAAACCAATCCATGTCCACGTGAGGGTTCGCAAATGGGATGTGCATTTCGTGGCTTTTTGGGAACAGTAGCAATCGAGGGCACTCCGGTCCAACATGCGGAGCAGTTTTTAGTTTGACCTCAATTGGCGCAATGGTATGGGTCCCTAGTATGGGTGGTAAGCGTCAAGACCCCTTTTTTGCGTCGGGCCATTGTTCTCGGTCCCAAGTTCTGGTCAGTTCCTCGGAAACGTGTGCATATCAGAAAAGAATATCCTTTTTTGCACGGCCCTCGCATAGCTTGGCTGAATCATGGAACCTGACGGCTGTCGCTGAGTGAGGGAACACGCGTACCTCGGAGCTTGTTCAATCAACCTCGCGGACCTTGTTCCAATCGCGCTGTTGGCTAGCCAGTGACAGTTTTCCCATTAATTTGCAAACACACGGCAACCCAGGAATTTGCATGATGCTGCAGACACAACTGTTGTTCTTCGTGATTGCAGCGGCTTCCAGGCATGTTCGTAACTTGTATTGGCACGCCATGGTACCAGAACGAGAAGCGTGAAACACACACACAGAGGCCATATTATGACTTGTGACGTGTGATATTTGACTGGCCTCGCATGTATGCAGACACTTGTTCCGACAAAAGGGCACATTGAGGACAGCAACGGTGTAGGAACTTGATGTATGTATGCTACATGGTGGGCAACTTGATACGTAGGAAGCCCAACACTGGCCGGTCCGCAGTCGGCAAGCCCCGTCCCTTCGAGAGAAACTCTCAGGAGGTCGCCTATCAGTTGAGTTATTATATGTATGTACATACATACACATAGATATATATATACATATCTATACATATCTTTATACATTAAAGTATCAGTATCACGTTGTTTTTTCCCGTGGTTTGGGATTTCTCAGGTTGTCCTGTCCAGATGTGTCGGACCTTCGCCGGTCAAGCCTGCCTGCCCTTTGCCGCCAGGCTTGGACGCAGCCAAAGACGCGTGGTCTGAGATGGGCTCCGTACGCACGTTGCGACCCGTTTCAGGGGTCCCCTGCCCCATCTACACTTCCTCCCACTGACTAAATAGCTTGTGCGGGAAAGTACCGGCCAGATAGATTTCCTCGTGTTTGAAGGTGAAGTATGGAGAATTGCAAGGAACCCCCCTTTTGTTGCCCGTGAAATTGTTGAATTTGAGCCCCACATGTTATAGGTGTTCATTGGTTAAACACAACCACAGCTTTATTGTAAAGGGCTCTGCAGGTTGTAGAGTGTTTGGCAATGTGGAGTCCTGGAAGGGTCTGAAAGCCCAGCAGAGTTTTTACAACATCATGCAGTGGATCAAGCTTTGACTTGGACCTGACATGCCTTCTATGTATGATCAGGCGGGCTTGCTGATGTCAGTTTGTAGGCATGAGCTTGAGTTCGGGCATGCACTTGCACGCAGCCCCCACGAGTCTGTTGCTGGAGTGTTGCCTAGTTGTACATAAGTATACTTCCCCATACCATGCCTGGAAATGCCCTCACGCGGCTCCGCGGCTCCACCTCCCTTTCTGAGGAAGCTGCACCATCCTTGGAAGAGCTGTTCGAACAGGCCCTGAAGGAGCACGCTGGCGCTGCGGTCAACTACTGTTTTGCGTTCGGGCAAGCACGTGCCACTGAGCTTGTATGATCACAAAAGCGTCCTTTTCCTATGCTGATGCTGGTGATTGCTCATGCTTCAGGTTTCGCTTGAGGTGCTTCCACAGTGAGGTTGCAAGATGTCGCAAGTCCCCGTTTTGCGAGCTACCCATTCAGCGGCGCAAGTGGCTATGAATTATAGTTGGGAACACCGTCACAAAATGGTGGCTGAACATAAATTTGGTTTCATTGATGTCCCGAGCATGCCGATCTAAACATACATTTGCAGAGGAAGCTCCTTTTTGGTTCCATGCCATTTTGGTAAACTTCATACCCGAGGTGTCCCTCCTCGGGCCCTCGATGGCCTCGATAGGAGATCCTGGAGCGGCGGCACCGAGCGGGGTGCCGAAGCCAGCCACAGCTGAAACCCAGGGAGCGGGCCCTGATCTACAAGATCCGAGGCAGAGGGTCACAAGGGTTCCCTTAGGGTCGCCTTGTTGTTCCGTTCGTGCGTCAGTTTGCTCTTGGGTAGCCTATTCATTTGTGCAATGAATGCAACTAAACGAAAAATAGTTCCCTATACGTGCCGCTTTCATATCTTACCCAACTCCGACATGTTGACCATGACACATCTCTGCCCTCTGGGTCTTTGGGCTGGTTGGAACTGAAACACCCGCTGGTGCATCAGTCTTGTGAGCTTCCGCTTTGGTGGGAAGAGAGGGGAAGTGGGGAAGTATGGGGAGCCCTGTTTTGGGACCATGGGATCTCTCTTGAATTCATTGCACGCGTTAAGGCCCACGCAATATGTTCGGAATCTATATTAGCTTGGTCCAGAGTCCAATGGCAAAGATCCAGGGAATTGACTGAGAACGCATTTGGAGCCAAGGATCACTAGTCATACTGGCTATGCACATGGCCACATGGCTTAGTTTTACTGGCACGCACTAGTCACTGAACCAGCAGATTGTGGCTGCAGTGGGCCAGCCATAGGATCCACACGCCACCATGCGCGCATTTCACTTTTCCCAGTCAGCTTTCCTTTTTCTATGTTTTGGAGGTTGGGGGTGCCTTCCCGTCTGCTTTCAAGAGAAGCTGGGGTTCGAGGTTAGAGGAAAGCTAGTCATGCCAAGTGTAACTCAACAGCCTTCTGTCTGCTTTGGAGCTCCCCTCCCCCCCATTTCCCCCCCTGCGAGGTCGGCACTTTGGGTACGTGGCCCCATGTACACGCATGCCCCCGGAAAGTCTGGTCTCTGGCTGCGGCAAGCGTGCGAAGCAGATCTTCCAGGATGGGCAATGGCCTGACAGTGCCCGAGCGGCAGGGGCCGTGGATGGACAAATTTGCTTTGCACCAGTTGGGATTGGTGGTTTGTCCAAAACTTCACAGGGTGCATCCATCGAAACAAAGTGGATTTTATCCGTCCACCGTGTTTCTCGGTGCTTAGTGACGCACATTATGATCCACATTGCTGCCCAAACAGCTTTAGCTGTAGGCTTCTTGATAGTTTCTTCGCTTATTCTCCTTGAGGGAAGCCACGAGGGTCCCAGGCCTCCACGAAACCCGAATTGCTTCGTTGAGATGCGCTCTTGACGGATGATAAGTTCATTTTGTTACGACCCTAAGCCGCAAACCGGGTACCTCTGTTTGCGCTTGTTAGCGTGGTCTTGGCATCAAGTGTGTCAGCACGCATGCCGCCACTAAGATGTGTTTGGCTCAAGTACTCAAACTTTCCAGATTATGACACACACCACCAGCATTCGCAGCTTCAATAATGATGAGTTCCTTTGTCGTGTTCATAATATAAAGGGCATCAATACCTAAAACCCTTCCGGCAATAGACCCTTAGCCTTGCTAGATTGGGGTTCTATCTCAAGCTGCAGTTTGGTGTTGTTCTATGTTTGGGTGGGCTGTGATCCAAAGCTGTTATTCTTTTACACCCCTTTCTTCGTGGGCCACGGCCCACGTCTTCCTTTGCCTCGGCTTGGCGCCGAGAGCCCCCTCCCTTTTTGGTGTCCTGGGGGTGTATGAAGAAGTACAAGAACACATGTTCTGCGTACCCTGGATGCCACATTTCCACAGGCGACACCAGGCTCCAGCAGGGGGCACTAACTATTTTTGACAACGCCCCCCCATCTCAGGCGAGGAGGGCCTCCGGGATGGCATGCTGCGCCTTTGGCGCAGGAAGCTCAAGATTGTCTCGGAGCTGGCGAACGGCCCCGAGGCAGGCGGACCGGGCGGGACGTGGACGCAGCCCTTGGACAGAAGAGTCTATTGTTGGATCAGCGCGCGAGCAAAGGACAGTTTGGGCCATGAAATGTAGCCTGTTCACACATTGGCGTTATGACACACACACACACACACACAGCGGCGCCCCTAGAAATGATAAATCGAAATGTTGCAGCGTTTCGGTCATTATCAGGCTAAACGAGTTGTAGCTTTTCGCCAGCTTAGGAAAGTGGTAGCTGCTATCAATTGCAGAGAGCAGAGTCAGGCCAATATTATGATGGGTGGACTTGGTTTTGTGCCCGCCGCAAGCGTTTGCAGAAAGGCCTGTGTGACGGACGTGCCCGATGACGATCTGGAAGACCGGCTTCTTCTGGGCAAGGGCTTTCAGAGCTTCATCGACTGCCTGGCTGAGGGTGCCAAGGTTCAGTTGGATGACCCCGTGAAGGATTGGGAGCGTGGTTGTATAGAAGCACGTTAGGTCTCCCTCCGGTTATGGCTGTGGGAAGAAACTTTTCTGTGACGCCAAAGTGCGCCATTGTCGCTTCCAAGAGGTTTTCCCGTCGGAATGTCGAGCAGCCCTTGGACACCCAGAAGATGGGTCTGGCAAGTTGTTGCCTGGTTTGTGGGAGAAGAAGCTGGCACAGAGGGTCGCATAAGAACCATTTAATTTCACAACCACGCTGCACATACAGGCGCACACGCACACGCACACACACACACACACAGACACACAGACACACAGACACAGAGACACACACACACACACACGCACACGCACACGCACACGCACACGCACACGCGCACGCGCGCGCACACGCACACGCACACGCACACGCACACGCACACGCACACGCACACGCACCCACAGACACAGACACAGACACAGACACAGACACAGACACAGACACAGACACAGACACAGACACAGACACAGACACAGACACAGACACAGACACAGACACACACACAGACACACACACACACACACACACACACACACACACACACACACACACACACACACCACACACACACACACCACACCCACACCCACACCACCACACCACCACACACCACACACACACACACACACACACCACACACCACACACACCACACACACACACACCACACACCACACCCACACCCACACCCACACCCACACCCACACCCACACCCACACCCACACCCACACCCACACCCACACCCACACCCACACCCACACCCACACCCACACCCACACCCACACCCACACCAACACACACACACACCCACACACCACACACACACACCACACACACACACACACCACACACACACACACATGTCGACACAAACATAATAAACACAGATAGAGACATAGATAAATTGATAGGTAGATCGATCGATGGATCGATACATAACTAGGTGTGTCGTGCATGAGCCGGCAGTGTTTCGTTTGGACAAGAAGGCTCGTCCGCAAAGATTACCATGGTTCTCGGTTTGGTTCCTTGCGTTGAAGACCAACTGCAAGCCAACCGCCACCACCCTACCCTAATCCCAAGGTAGTCTTCTAATGTTGCCGGCATCTGCAACGGAAACAAGAACGCGAACAACTGGCAATTGCCGCGCGACCAACTGCTTTCACACCAAGCTTGTGTTGCAGACACTGGGCCCGTTGCAGGCTGCGCCAGCCAATAAGTGCTTTGCCTTTGTGTCAGAACATGTGGGGCCCCTTCCAAGCGGCTCCCTTTTCAACAAATGTCAAATCAACCATTTTGGCTGCAGGTTGGACACTTCACGGCCGATTGCCGCTCGCCATCAGGAGGTTTCGCAAGACGGCACTGGTGTCACCATGAAGCTGAGATCTGGGAAGTCCTTTCGCGGGTCCTTTGGCATCGTGACAGCGCCTTCCGGCGCCACAAGCTCAGGGGGAGATGTTGGAAAATGCACTCCTTTTGAGCGGCGTCAAAACTCCAGTTTTCCATTTCAGACTCTTTTCCCGAAAGCATCGCGAAGGGTTCTTCCGTGCGGAGCCCTTGGACAAGTTACATAGAGCCAAGTTACATAGAGCCAAGTTACATAGAGCCAAGTTACATAGAGCCAAGTTACATAGAGCCAAGTTACATAGAGCCAAGTTACATAGAGCCAAGTTACATAGAGCCAAGTTACATAGAGCCAAGTTACATAGAGCCAAGTTACATAGAGCCAAGTTACATAGAGCCAAGTTACATAGAGCCAAGTTACATAGAGCCAAGTTACATAGAGCCAAGTTACATAGAGCCAAGTTACATAGAGCCAAGTTACATAGAGCCAAGTTACATAGAGCCAAGTTACATAGAGCCAAGTTACATAGAGCCAAGTTACATAGAGCCAAGTTACATAGAGCCAAGTTACATAGAGCCAAGTTACATAGAGCCAAGTTACATAGAGCCAAGTTACATAGAGCCAAGTTACATAGAGCCAAGTTACCATTAGGTAGAGCTTAGAGCTTCGGCGTTAGCAGCTATGTAAGTTAGTTTAGGTTTCTAAGGCGCCGGGGCGGGAGTTTGATCGTCGCTCGGGATTGCGACCCTCTGCGGAGATTCGCGTGGTCGAGGTTCAAAAACTGAGGACTTTTTACGATTTCTAGCATGCGCGCGCGACCCTCTGCGGAGATTCGCGTGGTCGAGGTTCAAAAACTGAGGACTTTTTACGATTTCTGCGGCGCGCGCGCGACCCTCTGCGGAGATTCGCGTGGTCGAGGTTCAAAAACTGAGGACTGTTTACGATTTCTGCGGTGCGCGCGCGACCCTCTGCGGAGATTCGCGTGGTCGAGGTTCAAAAACTGAGGACTTTTTACGATTTTTAGCATGCGCGCGCGACCCTCTGCGGAGATTCGCGTGGTCGAGGTTCAAAAACTGAGGACTTTTTACGATTTCTGCGGTGCGCGCGCGACCCTCTGCGGAGATTCGCGTGGTCGAGGTTCAAAAACTGAGGACTTTTTACGATTTTTAGCATGCGCGCGCGACCCTCTGCGGAGATCGTGCGCGTCGAAGCGCTCTCGCTGTGGCGCCGTGCGAATTTGTCTTAGTCTCGGCGAACCCTCTGCGGAGATTGTGCGTGTCGAAGCGCTCTCGCTGTGGCGCCGTGCAATATTCTTGCTCGCGAAACGGCCTTTGGAAGCTGTCTCGTGGTTTGCGCGCCTGCTTTCGCAATCCCGCGGTCGCGGGTTCGATTCCCCCCTGGTCCGCGGCAGCTCCGGCTTGAAAATCGCAGCTTTTAAGTACAAACGTAGTACGCGGAGCGTGCTCCTGCAGCTCCGGCTGAAAATCGTAACTTTTAAGTACAGACGTAGTGCGCGGAGCGTGCTCCCGCAGCTCAGGCTGGAAATTCGCAACTTTTAAGTACAAACGTAGTACGCGGAGCACATTCCCGCAGCTCCGGCTTGAAAATCGCAACTTTTAAGTACAAACGTAGTACGCGGAGCGTGCTCCTGCAGCTCCGGGTGGAAAATCGCAATTTTAAGTACAGACGTAGTATATGCGAGCGTGCTCCCGCAGCTCAGGCTGGAAAATCGCAACTTTCAAGTACAAACGTAGTGCGCGGAGCACACCCCCGCAGCTCCGGCTGGAGAATCGCAACTTTTAAGTACAAACGTAGTACGCGGAGCACACCCGCAGCTCCGGCAGCACTTGCGCAGAGCAACTTGCGCAGAGTCACTTGCGCAGAGCAACTTGCAACTTGCACAGAGCAATTGCACAAAGCACTTGCGCAGAGCAACTTGCACAGACCAACTTGCACAGAGCACATGCGCAAAGCGCTTGCACGGAGCAACTGGCGCAGAGCCCTTGCGCAGAGCAACTTGCTCAGAGCACTTGCGCAGAGCAACTTGCACACAGCAGGCGCAGAGCAACTTGCACAGACCAACTTGCGCAGAGCACATGCGCAAAGCGCTTGCGCGGAGCAACTGGCGCAAAGCGCTTGCGCAGAGCAACTTGCTCAGAGCACTTGCGCAGAGCAACTTGCACAGAGCACTTGCGCGCAGCAGCTTGCAGAGAGCAACTTGCGCGCAGCAGCCTGGAACAATGCAGCTTGCGCAGACCACTTTCGTGAGAAATCGCGCGGCGCAGTTCGAGAGGAAAGTAGGATGATGAGATGGAGCTCTCATATGACCATACACACTGAGCATCGCCGCGCGCAGACACGCTCGCCGCAGCGATGTAAAAAGGTGTCTCCGCGGCTGGATGAGCACCTGTGGAAAAATGCTTTCGGGCCAATCGTCCTCTAGTTTTTTTACTCCCTGGCTTGATGGTGATTCTGGCCTAATTAAACCTTTGAAGCGTTTCAGCAGAAGCGATTTGTTCCTGGTTTGTGGGCGCCCCTCATTTGGAACGTCCTCTCAATGCCCACTGCCCAACCTTTTGGTGCGAATGTGCAGACCTACCGCGCCGGGGGGTGTGAGCTCAGTCCAGGCCACACTCCTCTCGAGGTCCTGGCGGAGCTGCATCCAGACAGTGCCATCCAGTTCCAGCCAGAGCTGCCGGAAGACAAGCGAAGAGCCTTGCGGAGGCCAGGATGGGCCAATTGCGCTGACTAAGTAACGTAATCCTATGGCCTGGTCATCTGGGATCAGATAAGAAATCCCTGGGTGAAGTAGAAATATCCTGATTCAGGGCCAAGGGACTTGCATGGCCTATGATCAAATTGCGCGCATGTGAATCCTTGTCCCTTGCCTGTGGTTGCAGACACGTCCCCTTTGCAGCGGCTTCCAACTGGGATCAGGGATTAGGATCCACAATTATCCGAACCCCTTGCCTTTAGTTGCAGAAAGCTTCCAAACTGGGATTGGGGGATCGGCCCTCCATGTGCAGCAGTTTAGATATTCGTGCTATGTTTTCGGAATGCTTATGCTTGCTTCACATTGGTCTTGCTTATGAGCCTGAAATGAGAGTGGGGCCACGGACGTCATGCAGTGGTGACCATGCACCTCCGCTTTGAGCGGACATGTCTAGGAGGTGATGCAGGCAGCGGATTGAACGGCAAGTCAACAAATGATTCAATCGACACTGTGGTCCACCTTGTCTCAAGCTGGCCTCAAAGAGCATTTGCTTGAAACATGAGGGGTGGTGCAAATACATGTCACATGTTGGGGGTGCAGCCGGGAGTTCAATTGTGGTCTGAACTGCTTGTTTTGCCACATGCCGAACGCAAGCTTTGCCGTTGATGTATACTTGCCTTTTCGATGTTCCTGGTTTGTCCTGCTGGATTGGACTTTCAAAAGGCAATTGCCTACAGCCAGTGCTAGCCTCGGGAATGTGCTCACTACAGCGGTATCACTCACAAAGCCAAAGTTGTTTCAATGTGCACTTGAGAGAGCAAAACCAGAAGTGCCAAGGCTGCCTTTTCTTCATTCCTCTTTGTCGGTATCCCCCCCCCTCCCCCCCGGGGACGCTTGTCAAACAGCAGCGTCGAATTGGCAAATCTAAGCGGGAGGAAAAGCCTGCGTCAGGGCAAGATGTGACGGAAAGCCATGCGCAGCTTGATGTAAGGTTGTCGCAAGTTCCGTCCGCCTCTCCGCGTTGGCTTGCTTGCCCCAACTACCAGAGGTTTACTACCACCAACTACCAACGATTGAGCAGCTGCCGCGCGCCTCAGAGCTGCTGGCCACATCAAGTTTAGGTTCTTGAAATGGGCAAAGAAATAGAACAACAACTCTTTTTTGAGTGGGGCCATTTGGGGATCGCCCTTCGGAGGCTATCCATTCCTTACCGCGGGGCCTCCACCCACGAGAAGGTGGTGCTGCGCTGGCCAAAGAGCGACCCTTTCGTGGCGGCGAAGCTAGCGCCTCCGGGAGCCGCCACGCGGCCGAAGCGGAGGGGCCACGAAGTTCAGATTGGCCTGAAGCAGCCGCTGTTTTGTGGAAACACAACGGACATGTGCCTTGGGGTTCTTTGGGCCTGGGGTGGTCATCCATACTGTATGCGGGGGCTGTGAACCAGCATTGTAGTGAGGGAGTCCTCACCCATCATGACCATAACAGACAGGGACACTACATATCTGTGTAAAAAGAGGGGGATGTGGCCGAGTGCGTTTGATGATTCAGAGCGATGATCTCAACGGCAGCCATGGAAAGGCCATAGCCTCAAAGATCCTTCATGAAGCCTAATAGTCACCATGAGCCGTGAGCCCTACTAGTCACTAGTCACTACAAGACTGCTTCCCATGTATTAAGTGGAACGATGTGTAACAATCCGAAAAGAGACAGACCATGACACACCACATACTTATATGGCGTGTCAAGGCACTGCCAGAGTGCCAGAGTGCAAATGCTTCCTTTGCTATGGCTCTGAATCAGTTGGTTGTCAGCTGACTGGCGCAAGGCATTGCAGTTTGAGACGACGGACGTGAGGTTCCACTTTTTGAACCTTCACAAGTACGGCCGGGAAGGCCGGCCGGGCTTTTGTGGCCGATAGAAATCCGATTGATGGGAGGTCAGTTTGATGTGAAGCAGCTAGGGAACAAGTTGAACTAGGTCTCGCAGTGTACCAATGTGTTGTGCGGCCGCATGATGCTGCGTCGCTTGCAATGGGTTTGGAACATACCATGGGGATTCACAATTGAAGGTCGATATCCATGTGCAAGGCCTGATATTCCCTCGACTGGAGCTGACAAGTCGTGATTTTCAGCTTTTGAATTGGGTCTGTATAAAAATAGGGGCCTCAAAAACAAAACACCCACACACACACACAGACACAAATGAGAGCATCCCGTGCGCTGGCGCCTTGCCGGCAGGTCAGCTGCTGTGTCACATTTGGGGCGATGCCAACTGGGAGGAGCACTCCAGTTTGGGTGATGAGGAGCTGGCGCTCCACGTGGTGAACGGGCTTCTTGGCCAGAGACGTGCCGTGGGCCTATGGGGGCCTTCAAACACCTTCGTTTGTGCATGCTTTGATTGAGGGTACCCTTTTCGGGTTGGCGTAAATGGAAACAAAAACGCAAGCCACCTTTTTGGGGCCTCCTGTTTTGACACATTCCCATTTGGGCACACGGGAGCGGAGGACACGAAAAAGCGCCGCACAAAAGAATTGGCGTGCGGCGAAGTCAGCCAGGATGAAGACGCCTTTCGTGAGCAGCCCCTAATACGGGCTGGTGAATGATTGTAAAGCAACTAGATGAGAGTGTCCTGAGATAGCTCGAAAATCAGTGACTTGAACAGGTGGCCCCAGCAAAGCCATGTTAACTTTGTTTGGATAGCCATGCGAGCCTGAGGTTGCGTGCCATGTTCCCAAAGGACGGGTGCGCTTGCATGTTGTCCTGGTGATGCAGCAGGGTGTAAAAAGGAACAGGTAAACTATGGATGTATTAGGCAGAAGCTTTGGTGGCTGTGGTGGCTTCTGCTGTTGTTGTGTGGCCTTCAACTTGAGTGAATATGACATTTGTCAGCACCAGGAGGTGATTTCGTTCCCTCCGCTCTGGAAAGTGACGCGATGGTCTTTGGATCCATTCGCCTTAGGACTGGCTGTGTTGAGTGCGGGGCAGGCCTGGCTTACGGCATCAGCTGATCTCGGAGTATGAATCATGGAGGGGCTGCGAGCATGGTGCCGTCGGGCTCAATTGGCGTACGGCTGAAGTGTGTTTTCAGTGTCGAACTGCAGCTGCTCCAAGCTGTTCTGCATTTGCCTTAGAAACTCTTGCCAGGAGCCTACACCGAGTTCCAAGACCCTTCTGCCTCAGAGGCAGATAGGGACGTCTATGGGCGCCATGGCTGCCACGGTTCTGTCTTGGTAATGTGACTTGATGTAAGGCATGGCTATGGGACTAGGGGAATTTGTCCCTTCTTCTGTCGGGAACCTCCCCTTGTCCGAAAACTTGTAGCACACGGCTGCAAATTCAGCTTTGCAGAGTCCTCCAAAGTATTGAAGTGTGCATTTGGTTGAAGAATCACCTAACTTCCGGGTGCTGCGGGACCCCGGAAGCCGGTTTTCTGGATGGGGCGCCTGGGAGCTTCCGAGGCGCATGGAAGACCGCTTGGCCTTCGCCGGTGAAGGCGCCCTGCCTGGGCCCATGGGCGCGCAGTGCACCCACGGCGCCGTGTTCTCAGGCGCGCGCGAGGCTTCCAGCGGCCTCCGTTGGTGGGGTTTGAAGGCCCACCCAGCATGGGCCAAAGTCTGATCATTTTTGTTTTTTCTTCCTTTTTTTTTAGTTTGGAAACGGACAACGTGAAGTGTGCCATCAGAATTTGAGCTCGTAGACTTTGCGTTCGATTTGCGTTTTGCAGTCAGCTCGAAATTGGCTGGAACTGCCTAAAAGATTAGGCAGATGAGCGTTTGGGGCTCAAAGTTGTTTTTTCTTTTCACAGGATGCATTGGTTTGAATCTTGACGTGTGTAGTCTCGTGTGATCCAGAACCCTCAGGAAAACCTCGTTGCGGTTGGTTTGCAACGGCAACCACAAGAAAACCGACCATTTCAGAAGTTCCCGTTAAGTGTTGATCCAGCTGGTGGCCAACAAAGCGGCTGTGCTTCTATTGCGCTCTATGCCATCTCCGCAGGTTGCGTAAATTGGGTCAAATGGGCTTAAATGGGCTTGAACTTCATGACTAGGTCGAAGGTTATCTATCATGGAGATCTCTCATTGACAGTTTGTGGTTTGTAGTGTTTCTTTCTGTGTTTCAAGAAGCTAGGGCCGTGATGCGCCGTTCCCTCCCCACCGCAAGTTTGGCAGGAGCTTGCATGGCCATTCCTGGTGAAGACTTCCTTTCGTACGTGCATGACAGCCCCTAGCCAACATGGAAGTGCACGGGCTTGTCTCAGAATTGGGGGGAGGCCTCTTTGAATTTGAAAGGACACCGACAGGGCACCTTGAGAAATGTGCTGTTTGGATTTTCTGTCTGTGGAGGCTTTCAGGGAGCCCGACAGGTGCTGTCAGAAAACCAGCCAGGTGGGTTGCTGGTTTCCTTTTTGCTGTCCATTGCGGAGGCCATCCAGGAAGGAGGTTCCCCATTTTGCGACAACTTGACTTCGGTCTCCAAACGGGGAATACCCCGAAGCAAGTGTTTGTTTTGGGTTGCTTTTGAGGGAACCCCAAACTGGGGGATTAACCCGTTCTTGTCAAAACAACCCAAGCAGGGTATGGACCAAGGGCAGCACACCCACATGAGGTGCAGTGAAAACCTTCGAGGGACAGGGGCCAATAAGTCTTACGGCGCACATGGCGGGCAGGCGGGCATGCGGCTGTGCAGATACTGGCCGGCCTTGGGAAGAGCGAGGCGGGGTTGTGCATTGGCCATCCCTGAATTCGTCCTTGGACCTCCAATAAATATCATGGACCTCCGGGGCGGGCTTATGGGCGGGGGCTATCCCTTATTCAATCCCTTAATTTGGCCATTTTGGTGGCTTATGCCAGGCATATCCAGGGACAGCGCTAGTATATGCGGTTTGATATGGTCAGGGGTCGTGTATTGACCTTTTTGAAGGGATCAAACATTGCAGTGTCACGCTGCATGTAGCTGGCCCCAAAGTTATTGGACATGCAAGTAGCCTGCCTTGCCAGTTGGTCGCATGTGATCCCCTTATAAAAATCCGTCCCGTTCTTCTTCCTGACAATGAAGATGTAACGGAAGCATGCAAGTGCGCCTTCGCCATTGCCACAAACATACTGCCCGTGGGCACACGGCTTGGGACCCCCTCAAAGTGCTTGCTTATGTCATGTTGTTTGTTTTTCCCCGGGGGTGATGGGGTGGGGCGTGGGGGTCGTGGGTTGACGGTTGGGGGGACAAAAGCAAGCGCGTCATCAATTCTGAAACTAGCCCGTCAGCAAATCACATGATGATCGAGCATGTAATCCCATTTCAATTTTCAGTGTAGGTGTAGCACGATGGTTGTGCATAACGCGTCGCGGAGTTGAACACTAAGCAGGTAAAGCTTCAGCTTGAGGCCGGTCGGCATCAAGCAGCATCATGTGTTGAGAACTTGGCTTAGGGTACTAACCCACAAGGCCGGAGAAAGTCCAAGTTGCTCTTGGGGTTCGGATGGACGGGCGCAAGTCCTTTTTGTGTATCACATTCCCTTGGTTAAGTCCACGGGAAATGCGTATCACATTTCAGATGGTCTTTTGCTTAGCTTGATATCTTGCCACCTTCAGGTGGCGACTCTGAAGGACATGCACGGGCCCATGGGCTTGGATGTTCCTGCCTTGGTTGAGGCGGGGAGTCGCCCCCAAGTCGGCTTGATGAAGTTTAGGGGACACGCCTAGCCATAAATCGGTGCGGGTTGCCGACCTTTTAATTCTTACCGCTTTGGGTAGGCATTTTTTGTGTCAGATTTTGGTGACTCAGGGTAGGAAGACCTGGGTCATCAAGGCTACCCTCACGTCCACTAACCTGGAACCTGAAAGGCGTCCCCTGGCAGAAGCTGGTCTTCCAAGGGCCTCCAAGCTGGTACTTGTCATTCCTCAAGATGCACATCGCCTGGTAAGTGGGACATCTAGACTCCAGACTCTTCGAACATGCCATAAAGGTGTGTTGTTGCTTTTGCGAGGGTGCCCTTTTTGGGTTGGGAAATCCATCATCTGGGGGCCGGGGGTCCCCCAATTTGTGACACGTACCCAAAACATGCTCAGAATCAGCCAGGTCATGGCGACCGGACGCCTCTCCCGGAAGAGGGAGCGCCCTGCCTGATGCCTGAAGCTCCAGGCACCAGGCTGCGAGTCCGATTGCCCACGCCAGCATCTGATTCCTTCCCCATGCCACAATAGAACCTTGATTTCAAACATGCACCCTGGGGAGTCGTTTTTTTCTTCATCTTATTTGGGGGCCCGGGCTTTGGGAAGCAAGAGAGCTGGCCCCTGAAATGTAGGGAGGTCCACCAAAAGGAACACGACCTTCCAGAATGCGTTTCACGCAAGGGATCTAAGCAAGGATGCACTCTTTTTGCTTTGTTGGTATTGATTTGGAAGTGCTTCGGAACTTGCTTAAAGGGGCCATTGGACCTGGTGGGACATTTTGGCAGTTAAGAATTTGTTTGGTATGAGTCACTTCGAGTTTAGTATTGACGGATTTCGGGCTTTGGGACAACTATGCTAAGCTACCTTTTTTGTGAACCTTATCAGGGAAGGGGTTGCTTGCCTGAAGCAACCAATCGGTGTTTTTTTCACTAGGAAGTGCATTCAATACCGATGCTCAGCAAGCTTCAGGAATGCATGTTGGGAGTTTGGTGGGCGTGGGCTGTTTGTAGGCTGACTGTGCAGGAAATGGACTCGTGCATGGCTGCTGGAAAGCCTGCTCGAAGCAGTCTGGCGTGCACAGGGTAAGCCTCACTGCTCTTGGCCAGCGGCAAAAAAGGCAAAAAGAGAAGGCGGCGTGAACCCCCCCCCTTAGCATGGGTCCATTAGATGGTCCTGATCCAAACCTTCTGAGGAGCGCTAGTTTACCCGTATTTTACCAATTACCATCAATGGAAGGGATGGCTGGACAGACCTCAATCGCAGAAGCAGAAACAGCGAGCTTCGAGAGTTGCGCGCTCCTGTGCTCGGACTCAACGCGCTCTCGAACAAAGATTCTGACAGTTGCTGGCTGTCCTTCCACTGGGCCACCAGCTGCAGGCTGTTGACTCCAGTTGTGCTAAATCAGCCGCTTCTTCCTTTCTTCAAGTTGGGCGGCTCTGTCTCACGCAACATAATGGCCTCCTTCAGCATGCATTGCTTCAGGGGACGGACAGCCCTTAGAACGGTTATTTGGGAGCCTACTTGCAGCCGCTACCTTGGCTAGTGACCGTGCGTATAAGGGGTTGAGCTAGCACGCCATTCTCATGCAACATCTTTTGCCATCAACCTGTAAACTTACCCATGGTTGCACAACAATGGCAATCACACCTACCCCAAAGGATTCACGTGACGATCACCTGACTTTTGTGCATGCTGTGAACGCCTGTCCTTGCCCCCTTGTTCACAAAACTCGTTTAGCCACCTGAGTGGCCTTAGGTGCCCTTTGGCAATAGCTACCCTTTTAAACATGAGCCATGGTCTGACAATGACACTGCGACCGTGCGTGCAGAGCACCCTTTGCAATGAGCCTTGTGCGGCTGATCGTTTTTCAAGGATCCCAATCCTCGACTAGAGGTTCCCGGAGCGCGACGGATCGCTAGGTCCTCGCGAAGCACAGCTTTCTGGCGCCCAAGCGCCAGCGCTCCATCCGTGTGGAGGCAGAGCTCATGCAGCGGCAGCTTGGACTTTGCACAGCTTTTCTGTGTGCTTTCCATTGGAAGTAAACCAGAAGAGCTTGGTTTCTCATGTTTGCCCACAATATTGGTCAAAGTTGGCTAGACATGCTAGACGCACATTTGCAACCTTGTCTGCACATGTTTCGCCAAGGAGAAACTAGTCCTATAAATTCCTACCTGCATACCCTGATGCCCGCAATGAGCATGCCCTACCTGCAAGCAACATGTAAGGATTTGTTGGGGGTCTGAGGTCTGTATCTCCTTTTGGGGGGGGGACAATTTGGGGTTCGGACAGATTCCTCCAGCCGCCCGATGTTCGTGACCAATCACGGGCTCAGGCTGGACCATCCAAACATTGTGAAGCTGCTGTGCCTGGGCTATACGTTGGCTTTGCGACCAAGCACTGGCATGTTGGCATTGGGAAAGCCAGTTAGCAAAGAGCGGCCATGGGCAAAGAGTAAGCAAGAAGAAGAGAGATCTGAAGCAAATTCAAGACTCATTCAAGACACATGTGTAACACAACTGAACGTAATTTTGCGAGATGTCCAGAAAAGCAAATAGGCTAGGAGATGCAGTACCGACCAGTGAGTGACATGCTCACTGCTCCGCCTTCGAGGTTGAATTGAAAACGAGCAAACAACAAATCCAGTGACATCACTGCTTTGTTACATTTCGCTTAGATGTTAGGACTTTAACTTTTGGCCAACTAATGGGTTTTCCATTAAACCACTAAAAGTTGAACTTTTAAAAGGGGAGCAGAAAGCAACCGAAACTGGGTTAACAGCCACACCCGCAAGCAACACAATGCTGCTCGCAGTTTTTTATTGGCCACATCCGGGCATTGTTGTACTCGCAGGAGTTATCCTCCAGAGCGAGGGACTTGCCTGAGGCGCTTGATGGAGGATGAGGAACGGCTGTGCCTGGTAATAGCGCCTTTGATGCACGAGCCTTGCGCCATTTGCTGGCGTCAAAAAGGATGTGGTCCGAGTTGTATGTATTTCGGGATTTCCCATGCGGTTGCTTGCTACTGTAGTGTGGCTGATTGATTTGCAAAATGAACCCCCCAAACAATTCAAGGGGACCGGATAGAGGAAAGATGTGCCCCTCGAACACAGTCTTTGACTGAGTACCGTTTAGCATTGGTTCCTTTAGCTAATGCAGACAACTTATTCCACTCGGAGACCAACCCTGCCCTTCGCCCCGCCCCCACCATCAACATCACCACATCCAAAAAACGTTCCTCGCGGGCACAAGCAGTGTTGGAAGGAATTCAGCTAAAATGTACTGTCCTGGAGTGCCCTTGTTTATCGGGGGAGTGGATCATTGTTGGACAGCATGTTTGTATTTGATGCTTGTTGATTAATTGAGTACTAACACTACCATTTACATCTTCCCGGTTTCTTGGCTCAGATGCCCAGAGCCTGAGTCAGCAGTCACCTGCTCATAAGTTCATGTTATAGGCTCTGCGCTGGCAAAGCAAATCAAGTAACACTCAAGCTGGCAGTATGGTTGGCAGCAGGGTAGTCCGGCATTGTTTTTCGCACTGGTTGGTGGATGACTTGGTTGGTGGAAGAATTGAACCATGGCCAGAAAGAAGACGTTGGAAGACGTTATTCGAGGGGAGGACATTCTAGCGCCCTGATTTTCTCCAAACTGGCGAACACGCCGAGGAGTACGTTCCAGGAGGTGACATGCTGCAAGACATTCTGCGGCAGGGCAGGCACGCTGGATCCGGACCATGGATTTGTATCGCTATTTGGCACCCTTGGAATTAGGAGGGTGCCAGAACATTGCTATGGGTCGGTCTCCGGCTTGAACAGCCCCAAAAATGGGGCGCCTCAAAAAGACCCGCCCCGAATTAGGACTGGTTGGTCCCGTGGACTTGGCACGCAAATCTGGCCCAGTACAAAGCTCTTTCAGGCAACCTGCTCTCTCGATCGATCCAGTGTGCAATGCTCAAATCATACCCTGCTGAGCATTGGGCCGAAGATTGTTGGAGGAGGAGAAGCAACATGAAGGGACTGGCTTGTAAGCGCCCAATGCAATCTCATCAAAGAAAGATCTCAGAAACGACAACATGTGCCACGCACCCACCGTGCTCTAAGGCAAGCAACCTTCTTTCGCCAAGCCAAGGTTCGTTCTTAGCCCGCCTTACGGATACACAACAAGAGCTATGTCTCAGCCCATTGTCCGCATTGCTGGGCTAAGCCCAAACAAGCCGAATTTTTCTGAATACTGCCACGCTCAGCTTCCCGAAGGGCTCTTAATGTCACGAGAAGCGGTCGAAGTGAGCTACCAGCCAGGTTCCAGGAGTCGCATGGTCAACGCCTTCTTCGGCAACTGGCCTCCGCGATGCTTGCGCACCCAGAGGTCTTAACTGCCAGTTGGCCACCAGTCGACAGTCCCAGTTTGCCATGAGCTTGATGCATCACCCACCCTTTTTGTCATGCAGGCTGTGTCGAGAAGCTGCGACACTTCAGGGCTCTCTCCCTCCCAGTCTCCTTCTCTCCCCCTTTTGCCCAGGTCCTTTGTGCACAGCAGGAACATTGTGCACAGGGCGACGCGCCCAGCTTTTCGTGATTCGAATATTGGGGACTTTGCAAAGGAACAAATAGATTTGAACATTTAGTATGTGTCGATGTTGTAGATGTCAAGACTGCAGCCCGGAGTTTGCCTGCACAAGAAAACAGTCGTTGAACAATTTAATAGTGAAGGTGCTTTCAAGCCCCGTTGACAAGGCCAACCACGGGGCCGGGAAATTTGTCCGCCTGCGTCATTAGATATGGTGAGAAACGAGGCACACTCCTGCCGTGATTGAGCCCGCCTATTGACATGTCATTTGTTTGTTAGCTGTTACATAGTTTTTGCCCTTTCTGGCTTGGCTATTTACGTCATGAAAGATGGCGCAGCTAGATGTGTTCGCTGATGGACACGTATGCATGCAGCCTGGATGCTTTCACTGGGCCAAACCCCTGCAGGATTGAATAGTTGCCAGGCAACCAGCCAAATCTGACTCATAGGAAGCTGAGGGCGCCCTCCAAAACAGCCAACTCTGAAGCCGCGACCTGCAGTGCCTACATGATGGTTCTGGGCATTCTGATGCCCGCAACACCCAAGTGATTTCATGTGGCCTTCAGGCAGTGAACCCCTTGCCATCTCCGGAACTTCCCAACGAGAATTGGCTTGAGGACCTGAAGCCGGAGAACATCCTGTTGACATCCTCGGACCGGGAGAGAACTGACGTGCCAGCCCCGGTTTGAGATGCATGGGGTTGCATGCGGTAGGGGTCCTGTTTGAACGGATGTCGTGACTTCAGAGCAATCGCCGGTCATGAGTGACTGTTTCACCATGTTTGCAGAGAGAGAGAGAGAGAGAGTATGTGTGTGTGTGTGTTTTGCACTTTGTCCGTTCTTGCCGCTTTGCCACACGAAGTTTCCCCCCAAATACGGGTTCCTCAATG